TGAACATTTAAAACTAACACGAGTCTCTATAAGTGTCCAGTTTTAAGGTCTTACACAGAATTATACCAAACAACATGAATCAAACATGCACTTTATTTATTTACACTAAATGTCAAAAGTACATCAAATCGGATTGAAGCTAAGGGCATACAAAATTGTCTAACATCCTGAACATTGGATTATCATTACAACAACCTGCAAGTTAGGGTTATCATGGAGTAATGACCACCAAGCTTGTATGAAGCCATAACCACATAGAAAGGCTCCAAGAAAACTCGGAGATCTTATGCTCAAAAAAGTTTGCTGCAAAATATTTCAAACCCTATTTTTATTCTCTTAGAAGAGAATATTGAATTTTAAAAAATTATATATCTTTAAATCTCTTAAAAAATGGTTTAAATAATTGGAAGACTGCTTAAATGGTTTGATTCAATTTGGATTGCATTATAGGTAAAAGAAGTAGATTAAGTAACCAGGGTGTGCATCGCAGGTGTTGTATCCTTAAATTGATAAAGGAGCCATAATAAAATGATTGCAATGAATCCATAAGCCCATAATTCCACAATAAAAGTATAGTAATTGTTAGGTTTGTGTCTTATATATATTTTCTTTAGGCTTGTGTGGAGTAGAGTAGAGAGAGTGGTAAGAGGAAATTCACTTTTGAGGAGTGGGTTGCGGGTGTTTCTTGTGTTCACTGGGATTGTTTCTTGGGTTATGAGAAACAAGAGAACATTGTTTTTTTTTTTTTTTTTTTTTAACAAAGTAACTAAGAGTTTTTATATATAAGACCAAAGTTCAAAGTATCAGGGTACATGAGATGATGTACATCAACAACATAAAGAAGTTCTGCACCAGTACCACACAGACAACAAACTTTCACTATACAAAAACTCTTTCTGAAGACCTGATTTTGCTAACTCATCAGTTGTTGAATTTAACTCCCTAAGGACCTAAGGATACAATTAATTTTTACAGTTTCCATACCCATGATGTTCTTAGCCTCAAATATTCTCTTAAAAAAAAATTTTTACAGTTGCCATGCCAATTGGACCCATGCCAATTGGACCTAAGGATCCAATTGGCATTTTTACAGAAATGCCAATTGGGGCACTGTATATCCAGCAAATGCTACCGTCTCTCCTCTGTATCACCACCCCTTCTATCCCAACCTCACATAGATTACCTACTGTATTTCCATCAAAGTTTAATCTCATCTCCACCTCCTCCCTTGTGGGACTGCAAAAGGAGGTTATAGTCTTTAGGGAAGGATAAAGAAGCTAGACCACATTTCTTTGCATGATACTGAGATTCCTTTTAATTCCATAGAATTTACTACCCAAGTGTTTTACAAGTAGGTTATCTGAGAGATCAAATCTTCTAATGATCTGGCCTTGTTTTCAAAAATTCATTTATTTCTTTCTTCCCAAACACCCTATATCACTGCATGGACAACAATACACTAATAAATTTTCCCTCACCTGCCAAGACCTCTTCCATGCCACTGCAAAATAACTCCAAAATATGTTAGGAGCTACCAAACTATATCATACCTATGCAATCTGCCATTGTTCTTCTGAATCAAGTCACAAGTGTTTATTCTCTCCAAACAAGCCTCCACACAAAGAAAGACACCCTTGGAGAAGTATGTGGACACCAAATCTTCTTAAAAGGGAACTTGGTGTCTTGATCTCCTGAAACTAGGGCCTTGAAACAGGATTTGGTTAAAAATTTACTAACAGAGTTAAGTTTCCAAATGTGAGAATCTAAAAAAGAGGGGGAGATGTAGATCTCCCATAAAGAGTGGAGAAGATTTGTAACTTCATCATTCTCCACTTCTCTTAGGAGTCTTCTAAGATTAAGGTTCCAATTGGTCCCGAGAGGTGGAAGTAAGGCAACACAAAGAAATGGTAGTTTGTTGAGATTGGGAAAAAGGTTAAAAAACAATGAGTAAGACTCAGCAAGGGTACTCCTCACCCCACAATTGGTTGCTTTTGTCCACAATTCAAGTAGACCTTGCTATCCCAACCATTGACACTCCTCCCATACTTGCTATTGATGACAACTGTTCAGAGAGCATTAGATTCAAAAGGGTATCCCCACAACCATTTATGAAGAAGGTCAGTATTCCTTTCCTTAGTATGCCCAATGTCAAGCCCTCCAACTTCCTTGGCCTTGCAAACCTTCTTGGCTACTCTCAACTTACTAAGTGACATCTTTTCTTCCCATTGCCATCCCATAAGAAATCTCATTGAAGCTTTTCAATTTGATTTTTTACTTTGGTAGTGATGTGAAATACTAAAAGATTACTATCATCAACGTTTATTCCCACAAAGCTACTTAATTTTGGAGAAATTAACATAGAGCTAGACACCAATTCAAAGCATTGAATCACCCATTTCATGTTCCCCATTGATCAACACCGAAAACCATTCTATACTAATGCAATCTTCTATCCAATTCACCCATATTTTACCAAAGCCTTTTTAAGATCAAGCTTGATTACCACACCCAGTTTGCCTTTCTACCTCCAATATTTTAAACATTCATTGGCAACTAAGATACTAGCAATAATTTGTCTTCCTTTTACCAAGATTTTTTAGGTGCTCCTGACCAAGATAATTGCAAGTCTTTAACTTCCAAAGTTCCTTCTTTTTTGAGGATTAGACTAATGAAATTTGAGTTATTACCTTTATTTACAGTAGCTGACTAGTAGAGGTCTCCAAACATTTCCATTAAATCCATTTTAATAATGTCCCAACAAGCCTGATAAAATAGGATAAGAAACCCATCAGGTCCAAAGGCTCTATCCCCATCCATGCTGAACACAGCTTCCCTAATTTCCTCGTCCTAAAATCCTCTCTCTAGCCAAGACTTCTTCACAACTGTACCATCCCACTTACTTATTTCAGGTCTCCTTCGTCTTTCCTTGAAGTACAAATCCTTAAAGTAGCTTAAAATTGCCTCAGATATCTCCTCTTGATCCTATACTTCTTTCTAGCCCACCTTTAATCCATGCCTTCCTGTAGCAAAACTGTGGAAGAATCTAGAGTTGTTGTCCCCTTAAGCCATCTCACTCTAGACCTTTGCCTCCAAAAGATTTCTTCAATAGTTTTGAATTCCTCTTTCCTCCATATATTTAACTTCTTTAAAGCTTCAAGTTTTGCAGAAATTGAAATCCAACCCATCCCTCCACCTTGTATTCGTCCCACCAAGTAACCACCTTCTATTGAAAATCTTTATGAAGAGTCCACATTTTCTCCAATCAGAAAGGGGTTTTTGCTCTTTTAAAAAACTTTGTTTACAAGACAACTTGCCAATGATATGATATGAACTGAGGTCTAAACTCATAAATAAAGGTGGAGAAACACTCTTCCCAATCTGTAATTATCAAGAACTTGTCCAACCTGCATCATATTACATTCTCTTGCATGTTTTACCAAGTAAAACTCCAATTATGAAGAGGAAGATCACATAGGTTACGTGTAGAAATAAACATGGAGAAGTCCCTCGTACTCCTAGTTAAACTTCTATCATTAGAATTTTCATTGAGAATGCTTAGACATTGAAGTCACCTTTAATGCTTCAAGGGATTGTTAGACCAGGTAACTTAATTGGGTTCTATTGTTTTCCCTCAACTAAAAACTTTCTAAAACTTAAGAGATATACACAAATATAGAGAGAAATAATGTGAAGTTCTTGCCTTCCAAAGTATAACATTGTGAATAATAAATATCAACAACATTGAAGAACAACTACAAGAAGAAAAATGCAACACAAGATTTATAATGGTTTGGCCTGGCCAACCCAGGCCTACATCCTCTCCCCAGGCACACCACTTGAGAATTTCCACTAAATTATCTAGACTTCACAGTGCCAACAAAACACTTACAACTAGTTGGACTTCCCAGATGCCAAGAAGACCTTTACAACAGTTGGACTTCCCAGATGCCAACAAGACCTTTACAATAATTGGACTTCTCAGGTGCCAATAAGACCTTCAACCAGATAAGATTACTAGTTCTATCCTAACCTTTCCATTGTTCAATTTCCAAACACTTAACAACTATTATCTAGAAATCACTGTCTAATCAGATACAACAAATATAAACAATTAAAGCACAATAATAAATGCCTCTAACTGGGCTAATATGAAAATACAACACAAACTATTCAAATGCAAGAATGAGATTAAACAAATATGGGTTTAATGCACTTGAAGAGACTAATGAAGCACAAATAGAGATAAGGTCAGTATATTATTTTATATCAGCAATCACCCATCAGGAGTATACTAGTAGGCTTGCTTATTCATTAATTTTTGTAAGTAAGAAAGCTTCACTAAAAGTTGTATCGTATTATTACATTAATCACAAATTTATTTCCCTCCTAGTTTGTGGGATCAAGTCCTTTTTCTAAAGGTCTTCATGTACTCCATAGCTCATTGACTTTAAGGAAGTAAACTAGTGGCTAATCCAAAGGGTTCTATACCTAATGGCTGGGTTGGATTGTCTATATGGTTCCTCTATCTCTATGTGGAAAAAATAAGCTGAGATTATCCGTGAATCTTCTGTTATTGATTTAATTAGGAAAGTCTTTCTTATTAGTTCATTCAAGGTTTTTACAGAAAATTTTGTAAAATGAAATAAATCTATTATCAAGCTTTTAAGCGCAATATTAACATTGGTCATGGGTAGAGGCTAGACCTTATTAAAGGAGTCAAATGCATTAGGAGTCACTACCATGATTGCCTCCCTATGCTTGATGGTAGTCAATTCAGGGGTTAGCTAGTTTTGATGTAATCTTGACATTTTTCCTGTAATGTAAGATAGTATTCCTGGCATTTTTCTACTAAGTTAAAATAGTCCTCTTCCATGGTTCCACCTATGAACAAATGGACCCTATCCTTGGCATATCTTATGTGCAAATGATGTTGCTGATTATTTTTTTCAGTGTTAACTTTCCTCATCTCCAAGTTCTTGTCATGTTCTTATCCAGGGGAACCAATTTCGGTTCTGGATGGTGTCCCAATTGCTGTCAAGGATGAAATAGATAGTAAGCCTTATCAAACTACAGGTATTTCACTATGGCATGACTTCCGGTTGGCAGGATTTACCAACTAATCATGAATCTTTTAGTAGAAAGAATTTAATTTTTCATTAATTTTCATCTTGAATGATGGTTATAGGAGGAACAAAATGGTTACACAAATTGAGACATTGTACTGATGATGCATGTTGTGTTAAGCATCTGAGATCATGTGGTGCCATAATTGTCGGGAAAACTAACATGCATGAGCTTGGTGTTGGGACAAGTGGAATCAATCCTCACTATGGGTAAGAACAAGCAATATTATTTTTCATGTGTAAAAGTGTAATGTAATTTTTTTGTAATTTCCTTTGTTATATTTGCATGTGTGTAATTAGACAGTTTGAAAGGAACAAACAAAATATAGGTATTATTTGATGTGCATTTTTTTGACTACTGCAGTGCTACTAGGAATCCTTATGATCCCAGCAAAGTGACTGGAGGTTCTTCTAGTGGATCTGCTGCTGTGGTGTCTGCAGGACTGTGCCCGGTTGCCCTTGGTGTTGATGGAGGAGGTAAGCTAATTCTTATTCTTGTATGAACAAAAAAATAAAAAAAAACCACATCCACCAGTGATGGGTATTTCCTTTTTCTACACTTTAGGCATCGAACATCTAGTTCATCAGTGAAACCTTACAGACTGATTAAAAAGCTTCTAGACTGAGACCTATGATGCTACTTTCATAGAATAGTTATCCAAACACTATACCTGTGAATAGAATATTTATCTTTTTTATTTGATTGAAAATATTTAGAACATGATGAAATAAAAGAGGAAAACATTTTCCAACTATTGTAAAATAGTTCCATTTCGTAGGTAAAAGTGGTAATGCAGAGTGCAGACTTATCCAATATAATAAGCTTCAATTTAATCATGCATTTGAAAGCCATGCTTTTCTATGTCAAAAGGTGTTCAACTACCTCACTTTTGGTAGTGCTGGAAAGGTTATTTATCTACCTTTCAAAGAGCTTAATACTCATTTTGTGATCTTTTGAAGTAATTTCAACTAGTTTTTTGGGAGAAAATAATTCTTGCTAACCTATAAGTTTTTCTTCAACAGACATCACAAAAACTTCTAAAACTTCTATTGCTTCTTTAGGTTCTGTGCGAATACCTGCCTCTCTCTGTGGTGTTATTGGTTTCAAACCAACTTTTGGTCGTGTATCTCACTCAGGGTGTGGTATAACTGGTCTGATTGCTGTTTTTTAAAAGTTTATTTCTTCTCTTTTAAAATTTTGACATTCTACTTTTCTTATTTCTCAGTGTTCTTCCTCTAAACTGGACAGTGGGAATGGTTGGAATACTTGCAGGCACAGTTGAAGATGCACTTATTGTGTCAGTTTTCTTTCTTAAGTACATTTTAATTAATCCTTTAGAAGCAGCAAATACTGTAGTATTTTACCAATCAGAAAATATAAGATAAGGTATAATGTAATGAATTTAAATAATATAATGCCACAAATTAATAAAAATCTCTAGAAAAGAATGTGATGTATGACTGACTGCACTAATACAAAATTTATGTTTGACTAAAATGGATGAGTTTAGGATGGTAACAATGAGCTAGTAAGGATTTAGGAATAATTTTAAGACTATGTCTCTAATTTTCAAGATCATGTTGAGGGATGTTATAGATTTCCTCCCACATGTCTAATAAACTAGCTACATATATTAAGAAATTAGAGAAAGTGATATTTGCTCTCAGCTCAATATATATAACATATTAAAAGAAACTGGTCTTCTAACCCAACATGCATGATTTCTCATACCATTTATGATTTACTTGTAGAGCTCACTAAGTTTACTGTTTTCAGTTATGCAGCTATCAGTGGACACCATCCATCAAATCAACCCACTATTTTACCTGTAAGATATATTTTCATGTCATTCAGAAAATCTTTGTTCAGAAATTCAATTCCTTCCTGTTGCATATGAGTATCTAGGTCATTTTTTTTTTCTTTCTCTATAAAAGGCAATGTTGCCTCATGCTGATATGAAAAACCAGACAATTTTTGTTGTGACCATTCATTTTCTAGACATCATGAGGTTTTAAGTTCAGATTTCTTTCCTCAATCATGGAATAAAGGAAAAAGTTTGAAAAAACAATATCATACAAGGTATCAGAATTTAGTTGGTTAAAATGAATGGCTCTCATACGGAAGATGGTCTTCTATGCATGTTATCATACCATGTTAGTCTACTTTCCCTCATTTTGTCACCTATTGAAGCTACTCCTAGCTTCTTCAATCAATTAATCAATCAACTCACCATACAACCTATGTATGGGATTAAGAAGAAGAGAAGAGAAGGTATGACCGCCACTTTGATACCAAGTTGTAGATCTCACCTGCAATAATCTAAAATAAAGAAAAGAAAAACAGAAGAGAGGAAGAAGATGGAAGAGAGAAAAGTAATGGAGGAAGAAGATGGAAGAAAGGGAAGAAAGAAAGAGAGAGAGAGAGAGTTCAAAGCCCTCTCAGCCCCTTGTGATCTCTTTTATTCTCTATTTGTAAAAATGAAGACAATTACATGAATGCCCTTAGTAGACCTGTTCACGGGCCAAACTGGGCTTTGCCTTTATATTAATAGAAAATGTTTAGGCCCGAGCCCGAGCCCAGCCCAGCCATTGGGCCTAGGTCTTGAGCTTGAGCCCAACCTGACTATAAAGCCCAAAGCTCGGGCCCGAGCCCGAGCCCGACTAGAAATTTGGAAAAAAAGATTTTTCCTTTTTTATTCAATTAAAATTTGTTTTATTTATACTAAAATACCTCAAAACCTAAAAACAGTAATGAAAAGTCTCATTATTCCTTGAAAAAAGAGAAGAAAATATATTATATATATACTTCTTTATTATATAAAACATATTTTTATTAATATAATACATTATCAAGTCGAGCTCGGGCTTGGGCCGAGCTTTTTTGAGAAAGCCCGAGCCTGGCCTAAAAAAAGTGAAGCTCGATATTTTAGGCCTAAGCCTGAGCTTGCGGGCTTGAAATCTTGTCCAAGCTCGACTTAGATCAGGCCAACCCGTCGGGCTACCCGGCTCATGAATAGGTCTAGCTCTTAGTAGGGTGGCTGACACTAATGGTCAGATCATGATCTAGTCCGATCCGAGATCTGATCCTACTTGGTCGAATTCGGGTTACCCCTGTTCGGATCTTCGAATTAGATGGGATTTGGATTTGGATCACTCGGAAGATCCAATCCGATGTATATTATATATTTATAAATATAAATATATAATACATATATATGCTATTTATTTATAAATATATTTTTATAAATTTGTTATATTATTTATTTTTTATAAAGGACATGTATATATATAATGAAAATAATTAAAAATTACTTGTATTTTTTGTTTTTTACTTTATTTAAATTAATATATTGTATTTTTCTTTTAATAATTTATTAATTTTTTAAAGAAAATAAGTTGGACCAAATCAGATCCAAAGATTCGATTTATCGATAGTATTCAAATTCAAATCGAGTCCTATCAGATCCGATTCCATCTTCGGATCGGATCGGATCCGGTATGAATAGTGTTAGATTGGATTAGAATATACCCTAATTTGAATCCGATCTGATCCACTTGCATCCCTAAAACAGGCCCATAACTAAGGCCAACTACCTACTAGCATAAGTCATAAACATAAAGAAAATAAAGAAACTAAGGTCCATTCGCCCCATCATCTCTACACTCCCCCTCAAGCAGAGAATAGATATGAATCATGCCTAACTTGCTTACACAATGCTATAACTTCACCTTGGGGACACCCTTGGTCAGAACATCTACTAATCGTTGATCTGTGGCAATGAAAGGAAGGCAAACTTCTCCGAAAGCTACCATTTCTCATAAAATGTCAGTCAACTTCAAAAGGTCTTATCATGTATAATACTCTGCCTCAACTGAAGATCTGGATACTACTGACTATTTCTTTCTCGTTTAGGAGACAATGCTCACTACAACCAAGGCACAATAATCGGATATAGATCTCCTATCATCAATAGTACCAGCCCAATTGACATCTGTGTAAGCCTCTAGTGTCATATTTCCATGCTTTAGAGAAGATGCCACTCTTTCCTGGGGTTCCCTTCAAGTAACACAGAACCTATTCTGCAACAACCATATGTGTCTCTAGGAGCATACATAAGCTAACTAATCACACTAAGAATGTGAGATATCAGGAGCATACATAAGCTAACTAATCACACTAAGAATGTGAGATATCTGGTTGTGTCATGCAAAGGCATAGCAATTTCTACAAAAGTCTCTAAAACACTCTCCTATTTTCCAAAAGCTCACCATCATTAGTTGAGTTTATGGTTAGCATCAATAGGTGTAGACTCAAGTTTGGAACTAAGTTTCCCAATCTTTGTGAGAAGATCTAACACATACTTCCATTGAGAGATCAAGATGCCATTTCTAGACCTAGCAATTTTGACTCATAGGAAATATCTCAACTCCCCTAAATCCTTAATTTCAAATTCTGAGTTAAGGAAGGTCTTGAGTGCCTAAACATCCTCTGTATCACTCTCTGTAACTCCAATATTATCAACATAAACAATAAGAAAGGTAATATGAGTGCCTCTCCTCTTCACAAACAAGGTATGGTCAAACAGTGTCTGTGTATAGACAAACTCAACAAGTGTAACTCTGAATCTATCAAACTAAGCTCAAAGGGATTTCTTGAGGTCATAAAGAGGTTTCTTCAACTTGCATACATTGCTATGCATTTCCTTACCATGCATACCTGGGGAAGTGACATATAAGCACATCTTCAGTCAAGCCTCCATTTAAGAAAACATTCTTAACAGCAAATTGATGAAATGGCTAGTCAAAAGCCAAAGACAATAGAACTCTAACTTAGGTCATTTTTGCAATTGATGAGAAACTCTCCATATAACTAAATATACCCCCTGGTTACTAGCTGGGTCTTATACATCTTAATGGTGCCATCAATATGATACTTGATGGTAAACACCCACCTTATTCCACTGGTTGCTTCCCATGAGGAAAATCCACAATATACTGGGTATTATTTTTACAAAGTGCTTCTTTTTCAATTCTTATAGCCTTCATCTATTATGGCTTAGATAAGGCCTTTGTAATTCACTTGGGTATAGGCTAAGAAGAAATGGAGGCTAAGAAAGAATGATAAGATATGAATAACAAGCTGTAAGATAGGTGTTTGGAAATACAATGTGTTGTACATTTCCTCTTACCTTTTTTCTCACAACAATAGGTAGGTCCAAGCATAGGAAGGGAGGTTCTAGAGCTGGTGGTGAGGAACTTGTTGTCTCTTCAAGGGTTGAGAGTGTTTGATGCTCAACTATGGATGGGGGAATAACCTTTTCATGTTATAGTCTTTGTCTCTAGTACCACCTTTGAAAAATAAGATAAGTAGTGAAAACTAGAGGACTAGTAGGAGGAGGAGGAGGAGCAAGAATGAAAGAATTGACTCTGTAAAGATGACACTCATGGAGACAAATCGAGTTTCACTAATGAGATCAAAACAACAATAACCCTTTATATGGAGGAATACCCTAAGAAAATGCACTTCCAGTCCTTGGATTCAAATTTATGTCTCTAAGAGCTAGGAACATGAACATAACATATGCAATAAAAAATAGGCAAAGGAATAAGGAACATTTCACTTTCATGGAATAGGACAACAAAAGGAGATTTGAACCCTAAGACTTGAGAAAGTGTACAATTAATAAGGTAGGTAGCTGTCATGATTGCATCACCCCAAAATCTCACTACAACATAAGAGGCAAAAAGGATACTCTTGACTACTTCAACATGTATGTTCTGGAGTACACGAACAAGAACTTTAGTGTATAACCATAAACCCTTCAAAGTATGAAACAAGATCCTTATCAAAATATCCCTTAGCATTATCTGATTGGAATATCTTGATGCGGGTATCAAATTGAGTAAGCACAAATTCATGAAACTGCCTTACAAGTTTGGGTACTTTAGCATGGGATCACATAAGATAAAGCTAGGTGTAACGAGAAAGGTTATCAATAAACAAAATAAAATATTTATAACTACTCATACAAGGTAAATGGTATGGCCCCTACACATCAAAGTGAACAATATGAAAAGGAACTGTAGATCTTTTATTACTTGCAGAATAAGAACTTTTACAATGCTTTGACAACTCACATGACTCACAATGTAAACTTGACACTCTAGTTTCTATAAACAAAGTTGAAAATAAAAGACTCAATGAAGAAAAAGAAATATAACCCAAACAATAATGACATAAGATAATACAACTAACTAACTCTAACACATTTGAACCAAAAATTGCTCTCATAGGTGATACTTGACTTTGTCCAAGCATGTCCAACAGGTATATCCCTTTTGTCTCATAGCCACTCCCAATCACCTTTTGACATTTTGTGTCCTAAAAAACATAGTAAAAATGAAAAAATGTCACACTACAGTTCAAGGATTTTTCAACAAGGAAGGTCTTATCTTGGACAAACAAAAGCTGGTAAGTAGAAAATAAATGGGACACACTAGTTATATAGTCAAAAGCACTAGAATCAATTATTCAAAGGATCTTACAATTAACCTAAGATAGAAGCATGATTCAAAGTAACACAAATACCTGAATGGATATGTAGATAAGGAGATGTTTCCTAAAGATGTACTAATTGCAATAATAGACTCTAAATGGTTGATGAATCATCCATACTTCACAATACTCTGCTTTGACAGCTACAAGTTGTTTCCCCCACTAACTTGAGATTTTAGCATAGGGTAATAAACAACCAAAGAGATGCAAGCAACATTCAGTTAGCATTGCCAATGAGATGCAATACTCACATACTACACAATTCCACACCTCTTTCGTAGTGTCCATCCATAGGTAATGCTAACTGATATGAGGTTGCATGGAATTCACTAATAAGCCTACCACAATTTAGTTCTCCTGCATCCACCTCTCATAAGTAGGACCATCCTCCGCAGGTTTCTTCTTAGTCCCAATGATGTGCCTCCATTTCGCTCTACTGCATACATGAATCTTTATAGACTGAGACCAAGCTAAAAAATTGGTTCCATCCAACTTTACTAGGGTTACTACCCCTAACAGTCTCTACATATTGTCCTAGACCAAACTTGGAATCGATGGAGAGTTTCATCTGACCTCTAGTTTGCTCCATTGGCCAAATAGAGACAAACGAAAATCAAATAGGGTGTTACGAGGCAAGACTTACTGTCCTAAGTCCAAATTGCTCTTTAAATGGCCAAATTAGGGTTTTCACCGCACCCGACAAAATGGGGGAAAGGGAGAAAGTCTAGCCTCTCAAAGATGGTTATAATGCTTTTATTCTATCCTCAAGTGCCATTTCCAAACTCCCTCTATACCCTGTAATCAAAAGGCTCTCTAGATAGCTAGGGTTTTTAAGAAATTCTCTAAAACCCTACCTTGGACCCTAAACCAACACTACAATTTCTCCAAAAATCTCCTCTAGCTAAGCTAAATACTTGCTAATCAATTACTAATCAACTCTCCATAAAACTAGTGTATGGGATAAGGAAGAATAGAAGAGATTGTAGGACTGTTCCTCTGATACCAAGTTGTAGATCCCAGCTACAATAATCTGAAATAAAGAAAAGAAAAAGATTGGAGAAGATGGAAGAGAGAAAAGTAATAGAGAAAGGTGGAAGAAAGGGAAGAAAGAAAAGAGAGTTTGAACCCCTCTTCAGTCCCCTGTCATCTTTTTTATTCTCTAGTTGTAAAAATGGAGACAATTACATGAGTGCCCTTGATAGGGCAACCGACATTAAAGATAACAATAAAAAAAGAGAAAACAAGCCCACTATCTACTAACACAAGTCATAAATATAACTTAAAGAAAATAAAGAAACTAAGGCCCATTCATCCATCTTAGCATACACATCTTGTCCACACTATTTTTTGGACATTGTTTCTTGACTGCCCATACAAATATGCACATTTGCAAATTTAAACATTCACATCCTAACAAAAGGTAATAGTTTCTTTCCTATTGAACAAGATGTAATGTCTATAAAGTCTTCTTAAAATTTTTTCATTGTATATACTAATTCTTATTCCTTTTTTTTTTTGCAACATATACAGCCAAAAATAAATTTACCGCTACTGAAATCAGAAAAATCCATGTCCAGATTTAAAATCGCAAAGTACAAAGAGGTTTGTGATTTTACTATAGTCTTCAATCCATATCCCTTAAATCCTCAAAATCTACACTAATATCTACCTATTAGAATGTTGTTTAAATACATTTTATAGCTTATCTGATCATTTGATCATATAATGGGATTAATAATTTGTAATTTCTTTTTTCGTGTCAAGTAGTGGTTTAATGACTGTAGTGATGACATTAGAAGCTGTTGTAACCAAATGTTGGACCTTATTTGCAAACATTATGGATGGGAGGTATTTAAGTTCTTGTTGATTCAGTTCTTACCTTTAACATTTGACTTTCTCATAATACTTTTCTTATCTTTCTGTTGTGTGTTGTATCATTTTTATTTACCTTAAGCAATACAGGGTATTATTATGAAGTCATTTTTTAAAATTATTGGAAGGTAACAAAAATAGGTAGTTTACATCCTAATATTATTTATAATGATAAAAATCTTTCTAATTTTTCCAAGCATTTCTTATTTATAAGACTGTAGATGTCACTTTACCAGAGATAGAAGTGATGCGCCTTGCACATTATCTAACAATCGGCTCTGAGTGTAACGCTTCAATTAGACCTCATCTAGAGAAGATGTACGCTTATCTCCAAAAGCCAGACCCTCCTATTGTCATTTTGTTTAATAAACATGAGATGTTTGGATGTTGATATTACAAATCTTAATTAAACTAGGGATGTCGCGGAATTGGGGTGTGATGCAAGGGTAGCACTTCGTATATATGGTGCTTTCAACAGCAGAGAATATTTGAATGCCCAGAGAATTAGGTATCCTATAAACTCTTATTGTATTACTTATTTTAAAGTTGAATTTAGTTGGTTATATCCCATTTTTGTTAAATGGGTTCACCCCTAGTGAAAAGACAAAGAAAACACTATTGTTTATGACAAATAGGGAGGTATTTTTGTCTTTAACGCATATACTTTTTGAATAATGATTAATCCCCATTTATCAAAAATGATATGTTTATATATTACTCCCCACTTTAAAATCATGGAAATATTTCACATGGAATTCCAATAACCACATGTTTAGTATTGGAAACTAATGAATATGTATTTATCAAATCATCGATATTGGAGGTATCATATTCAATAACGTGCTTGTAACTTATATTTGGTGTAGGTTGCATAGAAGTTATAAATTTGGTAAATTAAGTGCACTATGGATTTAGATGCACGTTTATCTACTAGGTTTTTCCTATACCATTTTCCTAGTGGAGCTATGTATTGCTTGGTTTGGTAAGTTCCTTAGTACAAGTATGATATTATTAAATAGGTGACACACCTTCTGACTATAGTAAAACAAACCATGGCAAAGTTTTTACATATTTGGTTTATATATTGTTGTAGTTGGTCAGACAAGTCATTGTATCTTTAGGAAGTAAAACTTTACTTCGAAATTGGGAAAAGTTTACTTACCAAACCATTATTTTACTCACTAAATTTTAATCTCTGTGTGTGTATGAGAGAGAGAGAGAGAGATTTCCCCTCAAACAAAATTGAGGGGGAACTCTTTGAGATAGCTCCTGTAAAGAAAACCGACATTATTACTATCTTCATAGATTCAACTACTACAATAGGATCACTATGAATCCAAGATGCAGGTCTATCTTTATCCAAATTAAAATCCCCCAATTCCTAGTGGACACAGAATAGTCAAGGAGGTTTCATCAAATCTGAATAAAAATATACCAAACCTAGATTTTACACCATACCCATATCCAGGTTACTGTAGCAACATATGAAACTCTATATCTTTTATTAATTTCTCTTTCTATAATTGAGATGTTTGTAATGCATCCTTCATTGACATAGTTTTATGTACATGATTCATGTGGTTCTTTAAACATTTCCAATGTAATGCCATTCTCTAATAATATTTGACAGGAACCGCCAGATGCATTTCTATAAGCACATTCTTGAAAGGGCAGATTTCATTGTTATACCAACTACTGGGTAATTAATTTTTATTATTTCTATTAGATCATGAATTTGTCTTGAAAATTCTTTATCTAGTCTATTGTATATAGACTTTTTCACACAATTGAACAGATAAACCTGTGTGAGTTCTCTCCATTGTTGGTCTCCCATACTAAAAAGCTCAAATTTTATCCAGTAGGGCAAAGCAGGGGAGCCATCAAAATGATGTCCTTTTATGTTCAAGAAAAATTTTTCAAGTTTATTGGGTTCTCTAGGCTTTTCCAATAGCTAAATGTAAGATTTTAGGTGGATGATATAGGCTAACTAGTATATGGCTACACCTTTATGTCTTGATTCTTTGTAATGTGAAATAAGCCAACAATGGAAAATGTCACTTCTTCACTACATCCTCTCAAATTATATACTCCTTGCTTATAAACCTCTATTTTCATTTTTGTAATAGTGTTACTGCATATCCAATAATGGAAGATGCTTTGAAATATGGTGATTTTGATTACATAAATGGAGGTAAGTAGTATCTAAGAAATATTTCTACTCCTTTTTTCTTAGTCCTATTAATTAAAGACAATACAAAGTTTGATTCCTTTAATGATAATACTCTCTAAATTGTAATTAGCTTATGTATAATTTTACTATAGAAGTTTGACTTATCAGCCATTATCTCAGCTGCACTTGTTCGGTACCAAATAGCAGGAAATTTTCTTGGATTGCCTGCCGTGACTGTTCCGGTAGTGTGCTATAATTATTTTATCTTTTATAACTTCTAATTGGTTATGATTTGTGATAAAAGTCCATTTTAACACAATTATTTAAATTTCTTATGATAGGTTGGATATGATAAATCAGGGATGCCTATTGGCCTTCAATTCATTGGGAGACCATGGTCGGAATCAACCTTACTCCACATAGCCTTTGCAGTGCAGGTATGTGGCCAGAACAAGTTCTACGGGTTCATAATTGAATTGATAATAATGTAATTATAAACACAATGGCAATTGATGATACATGAGATGGTTCTATTACATTGTTAGCATCAACATTTGCTTTTATGATGCTGCAAAACTCCCTTCTTTTGTACCCACCGACCTTAGGTGATGTCAACCCTTGTTGTTACTGGTTCTATTGCTCTATCCACTTTGGCCATAGCAATAGTGCACTGCCACTTTTGTCTAGCATTTTTTCATCAGTATAGATGTAGTCAAGTTTTATTTTGTCAAAATTTACTTTCCATGTCATACATTTCTCACCATGTAGGAATTAAAGATTGTTTGATTTAATATTTTCTACTTTCCACCTGGTGTTTCATGTTAACTTAGTGAGTTGTTATTGACAAATTCACATAATAAAAATAATAATATGCATATCGATAGGATCCACTGCATAAACTTGTCTTACCTTAACTATCTATTCTTTTGTGGTTCATTAATCTACTATGGCTATGCATTTATCCAATGATTAATCTAATGCTGTGTTGGTTTAGGTTTTGAGCATTCAAAGTTACAGAAAGCCCAAGGTTTTCTATAATCTACTAAGCAAGAAAGAGGAGCCATGAAAAAGCTCAACAACTTATGTACTCTTATTTAAGTTGTTCCCAATAAGAAAGTTTCTATCAATTAGATATTATAGTCAATGCAAAAAGTATTCATTGTTTTTTCATTGTTGTCTCTATCAAGTGGTAATATATACATATATGTAGCCAAAGCGGTAACTTCCACTGTTTTAATCTAGAATGTTTTAAAAACCGATCCGGTTGTTGACCCAAAAAGTTGGCTGAATAGTGGATTAAATGGTTATCTTTTAATTCTGTTGTAATGCTTACTTAATTGTTACTTTATAGCTGCTGTTAGTAGGCTGTTGGACAGTTATAGTTACTTGTTTCTTTTTTCTTCTTCTTTTTTCTTATTATTCTGATTCTAGGATATGCTGCCAGGGGCATACTTATAATTTCTAATTCTTTTATGAAGTTAATATAAATAGAAAACTAGCGGCAGCTAGTAGTTACTTTTTTCCTCTCAACCGTACCTCTCTCTTCCTCTCTCTCTCTCTCTCTCTCTCTCTTTCCCAATCCCCACGAATCACTACATGGTATCAGAGCAGGTTTTTTGGGTTGAAAAAGACCTATGATCCCTCTTGCCCTATTCTTAAAATGTGTTTGGACGTGGCTGTTTTTGCAGAAACCCTAGTAGGTTTCTGACGGTTGTTTCTATAGAAACCCTAGCAATTTCTGGTAGCAGTTTTTTTTTTAGAAACCCTAGCAGTTTCTGGTGGCAGCTTTTGTGATTTCTTTTTCTTAGTCGTAATAGCAAGAAAACCCTAGTCGGAGAAGGGTGATGCTGGTGCAGACTCCTCTGTTCGATGCTATGAAGTCAAGTTCAGATTAGCACCTCCGTACACGTGCTGAACAGGTGTGTTTTTTTGTTTCAGTTTGTCTCAACCTTTTTTGGCCGATGGTGCGTAGGGCTCATGCCTTGATTATATAGTTATTTGTTTGGACATTGGATGGTTAGTGTGTGAACTACAATCAGACTGATTGTAATGTCTGTATTAGTGGTGCTGAACCGATTACCGGACTAGTTTATTGTTCTGTTTGGACGTTGTGTTGACTGAACCCCTTGTTCTCAGTAGTATTCCCTTTGTTCTCAACAGTATTTAATGTTATTTTGCTCACATTCTAGGAGTAAACCCTGAGTTGCTCACATTCTGATTGTGACAGTTGTTTTGTTGGGTGGTATTTGGATTGGTTTTCAGTAGTATTTGATGGCAAGTCATGAATTAACTTCATCAGGGGCTACACCAACCCGCAGCACAGCGAGTATGGGAGGTGAAAACATGGTTTTTCCCATGCCAATTACCCCTTTAAACGGTCTGAACTACTTGGAGTGGGCTAAGAGTGTAAAACTCTATGTAACGGCAAGGGGTAAAGCTGGTTACATCAATGGAAGGGTGAAAGAACCCAAGGGTGAGATGGCTGAACATGATAGGTGGGACCAAGAAAACAGTATGGTGATGTCTTGGCTCCTCGCGGCCATGGAACCTAATGTGAAAAATAATTTTATGTGGGCAGACACCGCCAATGAGATCTGGGAATAGGCCAGAACTACCTATTCTGAGCAAAGGCATTATGCCATGGTTTACCAACTGCAAGCTGAATCCTCAACATGTAAACAGGGAAATCGTAGCTTGTCTTCATACTATTTAGCCCTTACCTCCATATGGAAGGAATTGGACCATTATCAGGCCATAGAGTGGAAGCACGATGATGATGTTAAGGCCTACAGGAAGCTGGTCTCTCAGCAATGGGTGTTTGCTTTCTTGTTGGGACTGAACCCTGCATATGAACCGTTGAGGGTGCAGATCCTAGGAAGCAAAGAGTTGCCTACGGTTCACGAGGTATACTCCCTTGTCCAATCTGAGGAAAGCAGGCGGAATGTGATGGTTATAGTTGAGGGGGAGCAATAAGTTGCCTTGGTTGCAATGAATAATAACTCCAAGGGAAAGAAAAGTGACTCTAAGAAGGCGGATGATAAATATAAGCTATTCTGTACCCACAGTAGGCATTCACGACATACACGTGACACTTGTTGGGACATCCACGGGAAACCCAAGTGGGCAGCAAAGAATCAAGAACAGGGTAAAGGTCATTTGAAGAAAATGAGCACAACACATGTGGCAACCCAAGATACTCAAGTTGCCGGTAATACCCGGGACCACTCTAATAAGTTTGACCCCAAGTAGGATATAATGAATTCCTTCAGAGAGCACCTGGAATCTTATGGTAGGGCCTTGCGGCAAATGGACAACTCAGTCACTAGTACTCCCTCTACTTCTTTTGCATCTACTTCAGGTAATATGGCTTCTGCATTCCATGTCACTCCCACAGATTCCCCTTAGATCATTGACTCAGCGGCCTCCAACCACATGACTAGTAAGCCTAACTTATTCCAGTCTTGTAGCCTTTTGTCAGGAAGGGATTGAGTGAAACTTGCAGATGGCTCTTTTTCTTCCATTGCAGGCCAAGGATCAATATCCCTTCCCCATGGCCTTAACCTGAATTGTGTATTGCATGTCCCTCAGCTTCCCATAAACTTGCTTTCAATTAGTAGCATTACAAGCTCCTTGAATTGTAGTGTGACATTTCTTGCTGACTCATGTGTTTTTTAGGATCTAACTTTTGGGATGATGATTAGTAGAGGAAGCCTAGTGGATGGTCTTTACATTCTCAACAACAAAGCTGGTCTTTCGGTGTCATCCTCAGAGTCGCATAGTTAGTCAAATAAGAGTTAAATTTTCTTATGGCATAGTCGTTTAGGTCATGTTTATTTCGAAATAATAAAATCTTTGTTTTCAGATTTATTTAAGTCATGTTCAGTGTCAAAGTTCATGTGTCAAACGTGTTAGTTGAGCAAACAATGTAGAACAACTTTTCACTCAAGTAATAAAAGATCAAATGTTCCTTTTCATGTTGTGTATTCTGATGTATGGGGGCCTACCAATGTAATCTTTGAGGGCGGATATAAGTACTTTATTACATTGATCGATGATTACTCTCACTATACATGGATAATTCCTATGCATAGCAGAGACGAAGTTCCAAAGATAGTGAAAGACTTCTAGAGGATGGTGTTTACGGAGTTTCATGTTGAAATACAGATCTTCCAATCTGATAATGTGAAGGAATACTTCCTTGGGGAGCTCAATGAGTTATTCGCCTCCCATGGATCTATTCATAGGAGCTCATGCGCCAGAACACCACAACAAAATGGTGTTGCAGAAAGRAAAAACAWACACCTTCTTKARGTAGCCCGYGRGATGATGTTACACATGAATGTCCCAAAAAGGTTTTGGGTGGACGCTATACTTGTAGCTGTGTATGTCATCAACCGCATGCCCTCCAAAGTACTGAACTACATGGCCCCTCATCAGTTATTGTACCCTCAGTCTCCTTTATTTTCTATTCCCATGAGAGTCTTTGGTTGTCGGGTTTTTGTCCATGATTTGTCTCCATCTCGAGGTAAGTTAGACCCTCGGTCCATTCCTTGTGTCTTTCTGGGGCACCCCTCCTTTCAAAAAGGGTATCAGTGCTTTGACCCAGTTAGTCGTAAATTTTTTGTGTCTATGGATGTGTCCTTTGAGTTCGAGCCATTCTTCCCTCCTTCTCCTCAGGGGGAAAGTCGTAGTGTGGAAGAGGAGAAGTAGGTTCAGGTATTTCTTCCTTCTATTTCGGACCTTACTCCCTTCCGTGTCTTCCAACGTACACGTCAGAGAGATCAGCGGTGTGATAGAGATGTGGAGCAGCCAAACACTGAGCAACTGACATCATCAGACTCCTAGGAGGTAAGTCCACCCCCTAACCCTACTCCTACTATGGATGACCTTGACATTCCTATTGCCCAACAAAAGGGAGTCAGGTCCTGCATTACCAAACACCCCATTACCCACTTTGTCTCCTATGACCACATTTCCCCCTCGTACCGAGCCTTCCTATCGACAGTTGATTGCATCCCTGTTCCAAAAAATGTTGCAGAAACCTTAAAATGCCCTGAATGGGTAGATGCCATGAAGGAGGAGATTAATGCCCTCCACAAAAATCAGACTTGGGAATTGGTGGATCTTCCAAAGGGGAAAGACCCCGTAGGGTGCAAATGGGTGTTCACAGTTAAGCACAAGGCAGATGGAACAGTTGAAAGGTACAAAGCAAGACTAGTGGCCAAAGGGTACACACAAGTATATTGGGTTGACTATGGTGAGACTTTTGCCCCGATGGCTAAGATGAACTCAATTAGGGTTCTCCTATCCTTATCTGCTAATCTTGATTGGGAATTGCATCAACTGGACATAAATAATGCTTTCCTGAATGGTGACTTAGAAGAAGAGGTATACATGGTTCAACCTCTTGGATTCTGTGCCAAGGGGAGTGGAAATAAGGTGTGCAAGCTACGAAAGTCTCTCTATGGCTTAAACTAGTCTTCTAGAGCCTGGTTCAGTAAGTTTCACATGGCAGTTCAAGATATGGGATTCAAACAATGTCAGTCTGATCATACACTCTTTGTGAAGAGATGTCAGGAATAGGTTGCTGTATTGATAGTGTATGTAGACGATATCATCATTACAGGAAGTTAGAGCTCAAAGATACAGAACTTGAAACAATTCCTTGCATCTAAATTTGAAGTGAAAGATCTAGGACTCCTGAAGTATTTCCTTGGGATTGAAGTTGCCCGCTTAGAAAATGGTATATTTGTCTCTCAAAGGAAATACACCCTTGATCTATTACGGGATACAGGTAAATTAGGTGCAAGGCCGACAGATACTCCTATGGATGTGGACCACAAGCTAGGTGACCGACTATGTTGGTGAACCTCTGAAAGATATGAAGCAGTTCCAAAAGTTAGTGGGAAAGCTGATTTATCTGTCCATGACCCATCCAGACATTGTCTATTCGAAATTACATTTCTTGGATTCCAGGTATTGAGGACAGTTCCTCTTCCAGTGGCCGGCCTGATGGTAGAAATGACAGGCATCCGATGCCTTGTCTTTCCTCTAATTCTTGGGTTTGGTGGCCTTCTTCTGGGGCTTTCTCTTTGCCCTCCTCTTCTTTCCCTTTTTGCCAGCTTCAACAAGCATGGCTAGGGGCTCATCCTTTTTAATCAGTTCTTCGGCCCTCTGCTATATTGCTGAGTTCCTGAACGCTGACATTCAGCTTATTCATATTGTAGTTCATTATGAACGGATTGAAGGATGGAGGCAAAGAGTTGAGAATGGCGTCTATCTGGGTCGTGTGATCCAGCCCGGATCCAAGAGCCTCAAGCTCATTG